ATCAGTAGTTGAACAAGAGGTGGGACAGTTTTTGAGAACAGTTTCTGGAGGCGCTTGGGTGACTCAGAGGGTTAAATGCCTGCCTTTGGCTCAGGTCCTGATCCTAGAGTCCTGGGATCCAGCCCTGCATCGGGCTCCCTCCTCGGGGAGGAATCTTTTCTCTCTCCCTCAAATAAATAAAAATATTTTTTTTATTTTTTAACAGTTTCTGGGTAGCTATTTTGAGGATGATAGTTTGAACTTTTCCTACATTTTTTTTTTGTTTGTTTCCATTTCATGGCAACTTCTAGTTTTAAAGATATACCCACTCAAATCTCTCTAGGGGTATTATTTATATCTATTTTAAGGTTGTCTTCTGTTTAGTCTTTAATTTTCTTAGTTTTTTCTTTAAATGTTGAATTTGGGTATTCTTTATATAGCTGATATCCTTAAATCATGAGATTTTGGTAGTCACAGTGCCTTGCATCTAGAGTTCATAAGCAAAGCCTGAGCAATATCATACGGTTTCTATGTAAGGTTCCTTTTTAATATAGATGTATTAAATCTATCTATCTATCATCTATCTATCTATCTATCTATCTATCTATCTATCTATCTATCTATCTATCATCTATCTATCATTTTAAGACTTTATTTATTCATGAAAGACTTAGAGAGAGGCTGAGACACGGGCAGAGGGAGAAGCAGGCTCCTCACAGGGAGCCCGATGTGGAACTCAATCCCAGAACTCTGGGACCACACCCTGAGCCAAAGGCAGATGCTCAACCACTGAGTCACCCAGGCTCTTTCTAATATTTTAATGTACCGTAACCCAAGCCCCCAACAAAACTGTGCTTACGTTGAAACACACATTTTAGATGGAATAATAAACCAAATGCTTTAAAACCTGACCTGGAAATAGAGACATTTTTGTTAAATTTGTAGATTAGTCTTTTATGATAATCTGTTAACACTTTAAAAATATTTCAGTTATATTCATTAGTGAGTAGGTGCATGGTTGTACCTAAATAGTGACAATTAGTTAATCTTTGTCAAGTTGAAGGGAGGAGGCCTGTGGCTCTTTGCAGACTTTTCCTTGGCCCAGTACCATTCGACATTTTAATTAGTAATTTGGATGAAATTACAAAAGGCAACTTTGTCAATTTGTGGATGAGGAGCTGAGAGACTCCAGATTTAGGAATCAAAACTATCCTGAGTGGCTGGAACTAGGGATGAATTTAGAAAAATTAAGAGGGATTAAGGCATAGTGTCATACATGAGCCAAAAACCCAACTCAACTTTGTGAAAAAGGAGAGATAAGGCAAAACAGCATAGACAGGATTTTTAGCTCATTTTAGTTAAATACCAACTCAGCAATGTCATGTGACTACCAAAAATAGCTCTTAACATATTAATTACAAGGGAGGAGATATCCCGACTGTGCTGATAAGACCTAAATGGATTAGAAGTATCACATGCAGTTATGGGTACCATACTTTAAAAGAAATACAGACCATACCTCTTAAATAGCCATTGAAGGAAGAAGGGATTAAAGTATAAAAACAAAAGTCATCAGGGGCAGAAGAGTTCCCTGGAAATATATAAAAGAGCTGTCATGTGGGGGAGGGAATAGATGGACTCTATACACTATCTCAGTGTTTAGAACCAGGAATGCTAATGAAAATTGAAATAGCACACACACACACACAAAATTCAATTTTTGAAAACCAGAAAAATCTAGCCTATGCACCATGCCCTAATTATGCCCTAACCAAATCAATCAAATTTTTCTGTGTATTCCTTCTCCGCAGGTTACTTGGCTTCCAATTTTTGAGGTTAGGTTTTATCTTGATGGCTTCAGGCTTCTTAAAAACACCCAGACAACACTTAAAACCTAGGGACAAATCAAAAAGTGGAAGGATACTGAAGTCATTCAACTGCAAACTGCAGGATCCCTCACAGATTACGGATATCAAGGTAGAAAAGATTTGACAGAGCTTCTATCATAGATTATCAAAATATTAGTTTGTCCTAAATGATCCTGAAATTACTAGCAAGAAGAAATAGAACAGGTTTATGTCTACATTGGCTCTATGTCATAATTATTCTCCATGCTGGTATCCTCAGATAGGGAAATAGATTTTTAAATCAATCTAGAGAATTGACAGCACTGTCTAGAGATGAAGAACATTGCTGGGTAGGGATTAGGTTCCCTCATCATCAGTAGACAATTTTTGATTGTGAGATATGTGTCTATTTAATGTCTTTATTTGGGGAATTTGAAGCATAACCAGGCATAATCATTCTTTTCAATCTAGAGATTCATTAATTGTATGACATCAAATTCTAAAAGATGAAGGATGCCTGGGTGGCTCAGTCAGGCTCCAAATCTTGATTTCGGCTCAGGTCATGACCTCAGGGTCATGGGATCAAGCCCCAGGAAGGGCATCGTGCTCAGCAGGGAGCATGCTTGAGCTCTCTCCCTCTGATCCTCCTCCTGAGCAAGTGTGCACACGCCCTCTCATTCTCTCTCTGGGAGAGAGGGAGAGGGAAGAGGGAAAAAGAGGGAAGAGAGGGAGAGAGAGAGAGAATCACCAAGTGCACAGCCTTATGCGGGGCTCGATCCCCGATCCTGAGATCATGACCTGAGCCAAAATCAAGAGTCGGATGCTTAACCAACTGAGCCACCCAGGCGCCCCTTTAAAATTTTTAAAAGATTAAGAATGAAATTGATAACAAGAGTAAAGACAGCATAATTTTCCAGGAAATGGATGAGAAGGGACAAGCCAAGCAAAGGAATTTCATTTTTAAAAAGAAATCTGGGTCTTTGAAATTGAAAAAAAAAAAAAAAGATACAGGGGAAAAGGAGAGAAAAAGCAGGAGATTGTTTAGAGACTGGGCTTTCAGAGATGGGAGTTTAGACTGTAGAGAAGAAACACATTACTGAGACCAGTGAGATGTTTCTGAGGATGGGTAACATCAAAGATTATCGATTCTCCTGTTCTCCCAATTGGCTGTAAGTTTTCCTCATATATTAGGAAATTAAGTATTTGACTGGGGTGGGGAGGGTGAGCAGAGAATTACAGACCTGATGAAACCAGCTCTCGCTGCTGGCTACTGCCACCACCACATCCAGTCTTTCATAGTGATGCCAACTTCATTAGTCTAACTTCCAGCAAATTAAGTCTTGCTTCTTGTCTCATTCCCACATCAGCTCTGTCTTATGTGTCATAAGTTGAGTGTTTGCCCCCTTTTAAAGTACTTTAAAAAGCTGAGTGGTAGATTCAATCAACTAATCTGATTATCATATTTAAGTGATCTTTCTAAAATGCAAAAGATGGCTAAAACTGTTTTGGGAATTTAAGTGAATGCAAAAAAAAAAAAAAAGTCAAATTTCCTAATCAAACCTCAGTTCGGAGACTGTATATCCTGAACAGACATAAGGAACACAGATCTGTGGACCTAAAGGGAAATTATTTTATGTGTAATTCTCCTGCATTTCTTAAAACAGAGTCGTGAGCTTTAGCACAGATAATGGCCTGGATGGTTTGTTAAAACAGAGTTCTGATCCTTACTACCCGAGATTGATCCGGGTTTGAGGTAGGGGCCACAAATCTACATTTCTCACAAGCTCCGGGTGATGCTAATGCAGCTGCTCTGTGGAGTACACTTGTGGGTAATATTCTTTTAAAATATACTGCAAAGAACGCCACTTTCAGATTATTTAGTACCAGCTCGTTAAAATAGATAATTATAGATTAAGTCCCCTCCTTGAGTGACTGAATCTTAATGTCATCCTACTACTTCTGATTGCTGTCATACTCCCATATCGTAGTACAATTTAGTATTTCTCACTATCTTTCTGTTTGAATATTATGAAATGAAACTTTCTATATTATAAATACAAAACTAGTACCACTTGTCATATGGAGGTCATTTTCAAATAAAATACAATTTAAAAAAAACTATAAAATTCTTGCTAAATACTGTTTCTTAGGTTCTGAGCCTCAAGTCTATTTTTCTTAACAAGGGGGATTAAAAGAACACTGCACAATTGTGACATTCTCCTTTACTTATTTAAAAAGACTCAAAGAAGAACTGAAAAGAATTTCCTTAGTGTCTGACTTAAATGTTATTTGGTGCTGTTGTCTAAGTACTACCTAAAACGATCCCATCTTCTCAACTTATTTCCCAAATTAAATCTTTATCCTAACACTTTAAAAATGAGATATGATAACTCATATACTTAATTGGTTTCTATTTTTCCCTACTAATTTCCATATTTCTCAGAGACACAGTAATGAGGCACCACAGGTTAATGTCAAGCTCCAAATGGAGATTAAAATACTAAATATTTTAATAAAATATCTAATTGCCCCCATGCTTTCTGGTCATTTTTACTCTTCTTCTTCTTCTTTTTTTTTATACGGTGGGTCTGGTCCTTCTTGAAAGTCTGTACTTTCAAATTTATCCTGCATCACGGTTTTCGATGACATTACTAATAAACATTTTCAGAAGAGCAATTATGCCTTGTAAGGTTTCATTTAGTGACATAAGCTGTTAACCAAAAAAAAAAAAAAAAAACCAAACCAAACCAAAACAAACAAAAAAACCCCACTTCACATTGTATCATTATTGTTTTGGCTAAACTTGAACAAGTTAAAAAAATAAAAAAGCAGCCTTGATACTATGCAGCAGTTAAAAAGAATGAGTTAGATTTATACATGACCTGGAAGGCTGTGCATGATGTACTATTAAGTGCAAAACTTAGGTTGTAGTATGATGTATTGTAATAATATTAATGAAAAACCCTTTCCCAAATGAGCATATACATGTCAGCAGTAAGAAGGGTATAGAAGGATAAACATTGTGCTGTTAAGTTTTAGTCACCTTGGTTGCTAGCTGAGGTTAGAAATGAGGGCAGAAACATATGTTGAAAGATTTTTTTCTTCATCTCCTTTGTATCATTTGACCTTTGAAACTTTTTTTTTTTAAGAATTCAATGAAGAAGATTTAAAAAATGTAATCTGGATAACAAAGTTTAATGCATAACCTTTTGGAGAGGATTTGAACCTGGCACTCTAAGTTAGAAATGGTGCACTAACTCTAATTTGAGTATAAAGGTTAAAGTTCCAAAAGCCAAACTGTATCTTTGACAAGTAATAAATCATCCACAAGGAAAGTGAATATGAAAATGGCTTCCATGAGCAATGCATGACACCTCAAGGCATTGTGATATATGAGAACTATTACATTTAAAAAATAATTTCAATTAACCAAGGAGACAAAACAATGGAACTATGTAGCAAAACACAAACTTTCCAATATATTAATTTAAAAACATACTATAATGTTATGGAAGAAGACTAATATTTACCTGAAGAAGAAACTTCAATTAAAACTTCTAATATTCATGTGGATTTTATAAAAACGATATGATAAAGGCAACAGAAATATAAAATAACCTCTTATAGAAAGACTTTTCTTCTTGAAAAAGAGTCACTTATAAGTTTTTATTTTGAAATGAATTTAAAGGTTGTGATCGAGAAACCACAAGTATTTCCGGGTAAGGCTGAAGACCCATTTGCTTGTTATCTTTCAACTTTTGTACTATAATTCTGGCAAATTCTTCTCCTTGGATGTCACTGGTGTCCAGTAACTGTCTGACTTTTGAGGTCCTTGTAGGTTTAGTACTAACGAGTTCATAGTCCTCCTTCATGATCAAGTCCCTGGACAGGAGAGCATCTAGTGACTGGTTAAGGCAGGCTTCTGTCATCTGGCTCACAATGTCTTCCCTTTTACTCTGGATCCACTGCTGGGCTATGCCAGGCTGTAATCGCTCTGCAGAAGAGCAAAGGATAACAAAGCAGTTGAGGACAGCTCTATGGCTATGAGTAAAACTGGATAAAAAAGAAATAATGAGAGTAAACCCTAACTTTCTGTGATTATGCTAATAGGGAATACAGGAATTGGGGGATGCTGTTAATTTTTGGGAAACACTCAGATATTTGGGTTATCTCGTCTTTTCCCTTCAGTTCCCTTCCCAGAAAAAGTCCTTTTATATGTTTATAAATCCATGGGGGTAAAACCCAATCTATATTATATATAGAGATGAGCACTGGGTGTTATTCTGTATGTTGGCAAATTGAACACCAATAAAAAATAAATTATTAAAAAAAACCAAAAACTAAAACAAAACAAAACAAAAAAAACCTTTACTTTTAGTAACATACTAAGTCACACCTCCCTTTAGCACTCCCTCCCTAGAGAGATGTTCATGGAATACCATGTGGGCCTATTATTATCACATGTCAGCACTCATATCTTCTAGGATTGCAAGTGCTTTCCTATTTAATAAGGTATGTGTTTATTGTGTTGAAGAAATAAAGGTGAATAAAACTAACTGTGTGGGAAATCTACTGAGCGTACAGTTGTAAGGTAAAGAGCATCATTTACAAGTGTTAAATATTTACCTGTGTTTCCCTCAGCTGAGAATGGATTTATTACTGTTAACGCGCATGGGGTGGTCTTGTGATCACAAAATGTCCACTTCTGAGCTGCAGAGATGTTACTATTGCAACTGTGATTTACCGGATAGTGACACACCGGAGAAAAGTCTTGAGTTTTTCCTACAAAACACAACATCTTCATTAGGGGTAGAAGGGTCCTTAGCTATTCCTGTTAGCTAAAATATCAACATCCTGGTCATACAGAAAATAGTATTGTCTTTAAATTTTCAGTTATTAAAGCTGGTTCATAAATCTAGTTCTAAAGGCAAATACATCTTAGAGCAAAAGAGGGTTTATAATCAACGTTGTTACCTCATGTCTATGTTTGTCTGTTGTATGTGAATCATAAATCATTGGATTTTACTTCTTCACATGATCCCTAATGTTTTCTGTGTCTTCTTCCTCCTTCTGTACTTTAAATGCGTCCTCTAAATCTATTTATGATGTGTGTCTTTCTATACTCGTTTGGTATAATCCCATTCAACCTCAGGGCCTCAGATAACAGCTTTCTTCCCAAATCTACGTAATTAAATGTTCTATCTTCATTGAGCCTTAGCCTGATGTTTTCAACAGTCCACTGGACATCAACCTCATATGCGCTAACCTTAAATTTGACAAAAAATTAAAAACTTGATTATTTATTTAACTCTAAAACCTCTTTCATCACCTATTTTTGTTAAAAGCACCAATATTCTCCCAGTCGCCAGGCTTGACAACTTGTTCAGCTTTTTTTTTTCTCTTCCTTCCTACAAGAAGGCTATGAAGTCCTTCAGTGTGTCCTCTATAACATCTCTTTCATCCTTTCTCCCTTCTTGTACTCTGAATCAGGTCTCAGAATCTCTCCTGTGTACTACAGTAACAGACCAACAGTCTACTAATTGGTTTCCCCACCTCCATTCTCTTTTTCCTTCCAAAATAGTCTACATATTCCAGCTAGGATGAATCTTTCTATAAAGCAAAACAACATTTATCATGTCACACCCTTGCTCAAATATTTGCAATAGTTGCTCCCTACCCACATGAAAAAGCCCAAATAGCTCAGCCTAGTGTTAGAACTTGGGATGATAGGACTCCACCTATTGATCTTTTACCTCCTTTCATTCATCCTCTTTACCAGCTAAATCCAACTACTCACTTGCATCTGTGGCTCTATGTTGTTCCTTTTGCCTGGAATGCCCATCTTTATAACTATAGGTCCAACCTTCTGTCAGAAACAATTTCTTCAGGATGACAACATGGTGGAGTGACATGAAAATATTTATCAAAAGACCTGGCTTCAAGTCTTGGATTTGCCAGCTACTAACTATGTGATCCAGGAAGTCTTGATCTTAAAAATCTGTAAAATGAGGAATATCTCCCTCACAAAGTTGTTGTGAAATACTTTGTAAAAAATATTACTTTTCCAGTGTATTACCACAGCTCTACATCCATAGCTCTTATAGTCTCTATCGTCACTGTCTATCTCATACCATGGTTACTTAGAAACATTTCTCTTATCTTAAAAGGTATATTTTTATATATCTTTTCACAGAGCCTAAGACAATGTCTTCAATATTTTAATGTATTTTTAGAACATCCCACTATTATTTTCTCATCTTTAGATTCTGACACTTCTAAAAAATGAGTTACGACTACAGATGAAAGACATGTTCCATGCAAACATAACTGCTTAATATGGAAAAAAAAAAAAAAGAAAACTTGCAAGTAATACTGATTGAAAAATTTACATACTAGATAAAAAATTATTATCTTGAGGAGCTGACAGGGATTCTGAGGCTCCAGTAGAAACACTATTTTCATGGGGCTGAGAGGATCCACACGATTCCTAAAGTAAATAGAAGATAAATGATTCAGGTGAATAGAAAATCATTTTTAAAGTTACAGAGTTTCTAAATAGTTCTTGCTTTTGGTTTATTATAAAAAAAGAATAAAAAACGGTTACAACTTACACCTTACAAAATTAAAGAAACATACATATAAAATAACAAGTCTTATATATTCTTGGGAGAAATTATTAATTTGAAATATGAATGAGTGCTACTAAAGAAATCTATCCTTGTAGCTAGCCATTCAAATGGCATTCTTCCCTTCATTAATCATTGTAAGAGGTAAGGACAAAGCTGTATTACAGCTAGCTTACATCTATGTAAGGCGGCATAAACATAATGGTAAAAATGTAATCAATGATTTGCCTGTGGACCACACTGGAACACCATTCGTTATATGAAATAATGACAATGGCAAACAAAGAAGCAAGGACTATGTATGACTCAATGAGATAAACAGTGGCGTGAGAAATAGGAGTGCTGGATTTTGGAACGGAGATTACCATGGGCTACCTAATGAATCCTAAAATCTCTCCCTGGCTTTAGCTTCCCACATATACAGGAAGAAGGAATTAAGACTAAACGAGTTTTCGTATTCTTCTCACATTTTGAGTTTATCAACTTTTTTTTTTTTTTTTTTTTTTTTACCTCCTGTGGTCCATGAGTAACAGGTATGTTCAGAGAAGACTCCATTTCCTTCTTGTCACATAAGTGAAGAGTGCTCGAAGCACTCTGTAACTGGAATGAATGCATACAAGTTCTTTAGTTGGAAGTGATTAGGAAATTATATGAGTAAAGTACAATCTACTTAACATACTTTATATGCTTATAAAAAAAATCAGTGGAAAGTAAAGTTAAATCATTTGAGGCTATAATATATAACGTAAAGGTAGAAACAGTATAGGAGTAGTAACTTTTGAGAAACAGACTTTGAATCCCATTTCTCATTAGTTGGTTACCTTGAGCAAATTTATCTTTAAACATGCTGGACTGTTTTAGAGATTAAGTGAGATAATGAATATATAGTGTCTGATACAAGCTAAGTACTTAATAAATTTCATTTGTGTAAGTATATGTGTCTATCAAAATTATGAAGCATTTACTCTATTTTAGGTACTGTGCTGGTAAGTAGAAGTATTATTTTCATTTTATAGATAAGAAACTGAGGGATGGAGTAAGTAAGGGATACGGGGTATCCTAATGGAACTATGGGGACCATGTAGCCAATCAGGTTGGTTTAGAATCCCAGGATACCTAACTGTTGGATTTTAGGCATGAGACTTATTCTCAGTTTACTCATTTGCAAACTAGAAATAAGAATACCTATTTTGCAGGATTACTTCAGGGAGGATTATAAACAAAAAAGTCCTAAGATTACTTAGCAATCATTCAGTAAATGCTAGCTATTAGGCAGATGATTTATTTATATGCCATACTTTTGTATTAAAATCATTTAGTGATTTACCCTGTCTCTATACGCCAGTTGGATTAGCTGCCATCACTAGTGAGTGATTTAAAAAACAAACCTGTCAGTATGCTGTTCTTCTCTAAACCAACATAATGTCAACATAACTTTAGAACTTTAGAAATTGGTGGGCGCTACATTCAGACCTCCATTATTCATACTTATGACTGTTTGCTTCATTACATGAGTAAGGTATTTTAGGAGGAAAAAAATACTATTCATCTGTATATATAATCTACCCAGCATAGTACTTTGTACGAAGCAGTCCAATGAAGATTAAATACATTTTTTAAAAAAGATTTTATTTATTTATTCATGAGAGACACAGAGAGAGGCAGAGACACAGGCAGAGGGAGAAGCAGGCTCCATGCAGGGAGCCCGATGCGGGACTCGATGCCGGGACCCCGGGGGTCACACCCTGGGCCCAAGGCGGATGCTGAACCACTGAGCCACCCAGGCATCCCTGTTAAATATATTTTTATATGAACCTACTGAATTATTCTTTGGATATGACTCTGTTATAGAAGGTTTTTCTGTGCTTTTGTATTTATTGAAACATTTTCTGATAATGCAATATCCTTGAGTTAGCAACATCATTTTTCATAACTGATGTTATGATAATTCAAATTATTTATGAACGAGTAAGTCAACCCCAAGAAAGAAATGAAATAGAATACTAAGGAAAAACTTCTTTTGGTTCAGTTTTTACTACTTAAGATGTAGGAAATGCTGTCTGTAAAAACACAAATTATGGGACATGGTTCAAAGAACTGAAAAAAATGTAGGAACCTCAAAAAAAAAAAAAAAAACCCAAGTCACTGTAACTGGTGGTCGTAATTTTCAGAAATTTCTCCCTTTCTCTCCCCTTCCCTCCCTCACTGCCACTCCCCCTCTTTCTAAGTATTTATTTATTAGAGAGAGAGAGAATGTGCGCGCGCCGCGCACAAGTGGGGGGTGGGTAAAAACAGAAGGAAAAGAGAAGCAGGCTCCCGCTGAGCAGAGAGCCCCGCTCAATCCCACAACACTCAATCCCACAATTTAGGGATCACAACCTGAGCCCAAGGAAGACATTTAACTGAATGAGCCAACAGGCATCCTGGTTTTCAGAAACTTGATTTTATTTAAAAAGCCTAAATTTCTTCTAAAAATTATCAGTTGTTAAATATAGATCCTAATGTTTCAGTTGTTCAGTTGTTTGGGGAACAAAAAAAACCCAAACAAACTGGAATAGTTCTCTTCCATTTTATGAACAAATTCTTCTATCCACATTTGCTTGGCAGAAGAAGAGATGGTTGTAAGGAGAGAAAAGAGAACTGAACAGATAAAGCAAAAAAAAAAAAAAAATTACAGAAGTTTGTAGCTACTAAGAAGTGGAGAGGCTGCAATGTTCTGGAAAAGACTGTACCTACTCAGAAGCAGGGAGGTCCAGTTAAAAGTTATCAAAATAATTAAAACACAGTTCTTTAGTTTTTCAGAAAACAGGCATTAATACTACCATCATCAATTTTTAGTTTTGTTAAAGGTGGTTGTTTTCTTCATGTATTTCCCTTTCAAACTAACGGTTTTGGCAAAAGGTTCATCAAACCACGAGAGGCAATCAATGTCATTTAATAATACATAAATTATAGACTATGCTTAATTCACAACTCAAGACTTTGGTTAATAACTGATTATTTTTATTATATCTCAGATGCAATTTAATGACACCCAGCAAGTGCTCAACTATGCTTACTTTGTCCCTAAAGGGCTGTAGTTGCTTTTTAAACAAATTTTGACAGTATTAAGAAAACTGTGCAGTAATAGGTCCCTTCAATTGTTATGATCTACAAAAGCCAGAATGAGTAAATAAGACAATTGTTTTAAGTAATTCGTACCAACTGTTACTTTGATTTATGTAACATGGAGTGTCTGAATGGGAAAACAGAACAAAATAAAATAAAGCATTAAAAGAACACACATTTTGGCCTCAATTATTAATACAACTCTATAGCTTAACTTGGCAATAAATCTTTAAAAACCCAAGAACTTTGGTTAAAAAGAAGTGTAAGAACCCAGACTTCTATTACTCCATATATACTGAAACTTTAGCTTAAGAAATATAGGTTAAAAAAAAAAAAAAAAAAAAAAAAAAAGAAGAACTATAGGTTAAAAAGCCCTAGTGATTTAGGGCATTCACTATACATAACTGGCATTCATTACACATTTTAAACTTACATTTGATATATGGGAGTTCTGGAAATGCCTTTGAAATCAAGAAGTGGCCATTTCAAAGACATGGAAAACCTTTTTTGGTGAGGGAAAACAGTATTCATAGTCTCTGTTAAGCTCTATCACCCTAATACTGTAGAGCTGATATTTGTGAAAAGCATATAGAAGAAAACTAAATCAAACAAGCTGAAAATCTCCATGAATATAGAATTGTTTTAAGTTCAATTTCCACTATTTTATTTAGTAATTTACCTTTGTTTTCTTTAGTTGAATAACAGCTTCAAGAAAAGTTATCTCTTCAAATGTCCTGAGAACTGGTTCAAGTTGTATTAAACATTCTAAATAAGAAAAAAAAATTATATGCGTTCAGATTGCTCTAATCATTAAATTGCAAAAATGTAAATGCTAATATTTCACTGATAAGGCTCTACGTCAATTTTTCCCCAAAATGATAATATTCAACCGTCTTAAGAGCCTTTATTATATGCATATAGATAGAAATACATATCCTGAAATATACTTGAGAATCTAAAAATAAACCCTTATAGTTATGGTCAATTGCTTTTTGACAAAGTTGCTGAGGCAATTCAATAGGAACTGGATCATCTTTTCAACAAATGGTGCTAGGACAGCTGGATATCCACATGAAAAAAGACAAATTTAGACTCTTACCTCACACCGTACATAGAATTAACTTGAAATGGATCATGCGCTTAAATGCAAACATAGGAGAAATTCTTCATGACCTTGGATTAGGCAAATAATTTTTAGATATGATACTAAAAACAGGATCCAAAAAAGAATTTTGATAAATGCACTTCAAAAAAATTGAAAACCTTTGCATTTCAAAAAGCTGCTAAGAAAAAAGAAGATAAGCCCCAGACTGGGATAACATTTTTTACATATCACGTATCTGCTAAAGGACTTCTACGTAGAATATATAACAATAATAGGACAACCATTTGAAAATGGAAATGTAAGATATGATGAGCCATTTTAGAAAATCTCTGAGAGTTCTTAAAAATGAAAGATAAATTTGCCACACAACCCAGCACTTCAACTCATAGGTAGCAATCTAAGAAATGAAAGTGTATGTTCACACAAAGACTTGTATATAAACAGCCATAGCCATAGTAGCATTATTCATAATAGCCAACAAATAGAAAAAAGCATAATTACGACTACTATAATAATATATGAAATTATTGCTGAAAGCAGAGACCATGGCTCCAGATATAAAACTGAGGATCGCTAACATACGGATGGTATATAAAGCCATAGTCTGGAGTGGATTACCTAGGGCATGAGTATAGGTAGTATGTAGATAGTAAAGGGCCCAGTTACACGGAGGGAACAGTCATGTCTAATCTTCTGAGAAGCCAAGAAAGATGAGCAGAATTTTCTAACATTGCCATCTTTGGTAATGCCAACAATGTAGCTTTAGTAGAGATAGGCAAACAGAGACTGATGTTAAGTTTGTTAAAAACTGAATGAGAGGGAAAGAAGCAGAGACAACAAGGGTGGACAATTCCTACAAGGTGTTTAGATTTGAATGGGAGCCCAAAAATGAGGTGGTTACCTGACATATGATGGAGTCGAGATTTTTTTTCCTGTATAGATAGGAGATAGTAAAGGAATATGTATGACAGCTGAATGATCCAGCAGACAGGCTGAGATGGGCACTGCAAGGAGTAGAGCAAGAATATAAAGGAACAGAAGCTAGAGACGGTTTGGGGATGGTACCCAGAGCACAAGTGATACATTTACATTTATGTAAGTATATGGACACTTCTTTCCCATAAAAAGTGAAAGAGCTCTCTCTTCCCTGTAAAAGAGAGAAGGCAGGAAAGATGGATACAAGCACAACTAAGATGGTAGATGCGGTAGTGGAACTATGAGGTAGTGGTACTCTCTCATGGTTTTTAATTTCTCAATGTCGTGTGAGAAGAGGTGATCAGCTCAAAGACGGAGCATGGGGTGCAGGAGGTTTAAGGAGGGAGACTAAGATATTACCCCTATCTTCTCCTCCTAAGCTCAGAATCTATCGAGAAAAGACCTAGAATAATGATGATGATCAAAGTATCAATCTTTATTACTGGGAAAGATAATTGGGAGGATTTACCTTTAGATCTGTAGCCAATGGGCTTGGAAAGAGTTCACAGCTTTACTCAGCCACAAGCCTCATCTACTTCCACATGGGGGAGCAGTAAATGCAGGCATCCTTTAGACAGGCTGACTTCTAAAAGAAGGAAAAAAACTGAGAAGGGACCAGATAAGCATGCTCAGTTTTTTTCCAAAATTAATAAATGAAGTAATTCTGTGGAAGGGTGCTGAGGGGCATGTAGAAGCTGGAAATGTTCTTCCTATACTTTCCTTCTTGGGGACTGAAACAGAATTTCACCATCACTTTGGGAACATAAAGAATAGGCCTTATGTGTCTCCTACAATAGTACAAGATGATCAACAGATAGAAGGAAGCAATTCTCAAACTTTTAGGTCTCAGGAGTCTTCAAAATTATTGACTAGCCCAAATAGCTTTGGTATATGTGGGTCATATCTATTGATATTTACTATGTTACAAATTAAAACTGAGAAAAATTTAAAACATCAGAGTATATGAGAACACATTCTATTATTTGTTGGAGCAATAAAACCATCATACCTCTAGCCTCTGGAAAAATCCACTATGTACTCATGAGAGAGAATTTAAAAACATAATCTTGGTATTTATTATTATTATTTTTAAAGATTTTATTTCTTTATTCATGAGAGATGCAGAGAGAGAGAGAAGAGGCACAGACAGAGGGAGAAGCAGGCTCCTCAAGGGGAGCCCAATGCGGACAGAACTCGATCCCAGGACCCCACGATCACACCCTGAGCTGAAGGCAGACGCTCAACTGCTAACCACCCAGGCATCCCAATATTTATTAATCTGAAAACAGTTCTGATTTTGTGAATTCTTCTCAAAGTCTCAGAAACCAACAACCCCAGGGGTCCTTGTACCACACCTTTTGAACAGCTGATCTGTGAGAATGGAGTAGTAGATGTGTTTGAGAAGCATTACAGAATTTTTTTTAAGATTTTATTTATTTATTCATGAGAGGCACAGAGAGAGAGAGGGGCAGAGACACAGGCAGAGGGAGAAGCAGGCTCCATGCTGGGAACCTGATGTGGGACCCAATCCCGGGTCTCCAGGATCACGCCCTGGGCTGACGGCAGCGCTAAACCGCTGAGCCACCGGAGCTGCCCAAGTATTACAGAATTTTTAAGTAGTGTTTAGTGTTCAGTTTTGGCAATTAGTAGATTTTAAAGAGTTTATTTGAGGGAGAGAGCATGCATGAGGAAGAGGAGGGGAAGGAGGAGAAGCAGACTCCTCACTGAGCAGGGAGCCGGACATGCTGGGCTTGATCCCAGGACCCGGGGATCATGACCTGATTCCAGGACCCCAGGATCGTGACCTGAGTCGAAGGCAGATGCTTATAACACTTAACCCACTGAGCCACTGCCCTGACCATTACTTTAAAGAGAAAACCAATAAATAACTCCCACTTCTGGCCAAGATGGAGCAACAGGGTTTTATCTGCCACTCTGCCTAAAACAATAAAAAAAGCTAGGAAGAAAAAAACAAAACAAAACATGACACAATGGGTTTCAGGATCCTAGATACCAGGCAACAAAGGACAGCGATCACTGAGAGACAGGACACAAATCAGGTGAGCCTTATGATTTCGCAAGCTTTCTGTGCTGAAAGAGTTTCTAGCTGCAGCTTAAGAGGGAAGTGAGGCGAGGCTTCACTTCTCACTTGAGTGGAAACTTGGTTGAAGAGATGGGGCTGAGAGTCTGTGTAGACCAAAGCAGACAGAGTGCACAGGGCAGTACCAGAAAGAGGAGAGGAATAGAGAGAGAGAGCTCTGCCACGTGCAGAAGGCTCCTGTAAATATTCAGCAGTGCTGATCAATGCAGGGTGAATCAGACAGCCAAAAGTCTTTAAAGGACAACAGGGAAAAACCAGGAAGTCGGTAGAGAGGTCCTGCCTAACGGTATGGTTTTGCAAAGGAGCTAGGATTTTTAGAGAATGGAAAAGAAAAGGAGTATTTGGAAGTGGCACTGGGACAAAGAAGATATAAACTCTCCCACGTAGCTCTGGGAAATAACTAAAACTTGAATCCATTTACAAGCGGCTTTTCAGTTTTTAAATATAGTACTGATGTGCGCTGGACCCAGATTTTGTTTTTGTTTTGTTTTTTTTTTTTTCTTTTTTTTTGGACCCAGATTTTTTTTTTTTAATAAATTAATTTTTATTGGTGTTCAATTTACCAACATACAGAATAACACCCAGTGCTCATCCCGTCAAGTGTCCCCCTCCGTGCCCGTCACCTATTCACCCCCACCCCCCGCCCTCCTCCCCTTCCACCACCCCTAGTTCATTTCCCAGAGTTAGGAGTCTTTATGTTCTGTCTCCCTTTCTGATATTTCCCACACATTTCTTCTCCCTTCCCTTATATTCCCTTTCACTATTATTCATATTCCCCAAATGAGTGAGAACATACACTGTTTGTCCTTCTCCGATTGACTTACTTCACTCAGCATAATACCCTCCAGTTCCATCCACGTTGAAGCAAATGGTGGGTATTTGTCGTTTCTAATGGCTGAGTAATATTCCATTGTGTACATAAACCACATCTTCTTTATCCATTCATCTTTCGATGGGCACCGAGGCTCCTTCCACAGTTTGGCTATTGTGGACATGGCTGCTAGAAACATCGGGGTGCAGGTGCCCCGGCGTTTCATTGCATCTGAATCTTTGGGGTAAATCCCTAACAGTGCAATTGCTGGGTCGTAGGGCAGGTCTATTTTTAATTCTTTGAGGAACCTCCACACAGTTTTCCAGAGTGGCTGCACCAGTTCACATTCCCACCAACAGTGTAAGAGGGTTCCCTTTTCTCCGCATCCTCTCCAACATTTGTTGTTTCCTGCCTTATTAATTTTCCCCATTCTCACTGGTGTGAGGTGGTATCTCATTGTGGTTTTGATTTGTATTTCCCTGATGGCAAGTGATGCAGAGCATTTTCTCATGTGCATGTTGGCCATGTCTATGTCTTCCTCTGTGAGATTTCTCTTCATGTCTTTTGCCCATTTCATGATTGGATTGTTTGTTTCTTTGGTGTTGAGTTTAATAAGTTCTTTATAGATTTTGGAAACTAGCCCTTTATCTGATATGTTATTTGCAAATATCTTCTCCCATTCTGTAGGTTGTCTTTGAGTTTTGTTGACTGTATCCTTGGCTGTGCAAAAGCTTCTTATCTTGATGAAGTCCCAATAGTTCATTTTTGCTTTTGTTTCTTTTGCTTTCGTGGATGTATCTTGCAAGAAGTTACTGTGGCCAAGTTCAAAAAGGGTGTTGCCTGTGTTCTCCTCTAAGATTTTGATGGAGTCTTGTCTCACATTTAAATCTTTCATCCATTTTGAGTTTATCTTTGTGTATGGTGCAAGAGAGTGGTCTAGTTTCATTCTTCTGCATGTGGATGTCCAATTTTCCCAGCACCATTTATTGAAGAGACTGTCTTTCTTCCAGTGGATCGTCTTTCCTCCTTTGTCGAATATTAGTTGACCATAAAGTTCAGGGTCCACTTCTGGATTCTCTATTCTGTTCCACTGATCTATGTGTCTGTTTTTGTGCCAGTACCACACTGTCTTGATGACCACAGCTTTGTAGTACAACCTGAAATCTGGCATTGTGATGCCCCCAGATATGGTTTTCCTTTTTAAAATTCCCCTGGCTATTCGGGGTCTTTTCTGATTCCACACAAATCTTAAAATAATTTGTTCTAAGTCTCTGAAGAAAGCCCATGGTATTTTGATAGGGATTGCATTGAACGTGTAAATTGCCCTGGGTAACATTGACATTTTCACAATATTAATTCTGCCAATCCATGAGCATGGAATATTTTTCCATCTCTTTGTGTCTTCCTCAATTTCTTTCAGCAGTGTTCTATAGTTTTTAGGGTATAGATCCTTTACCTCTTTGGTTAGGTTTATTCCTAGGTATCTTATGCTTTTGGGTGCAATTGTAAATGGGATTGACTCCTTAATTTCTCTTTCTTCAGTCTCATTGTTAGTGTATAGGAATGCCATTGATTTCTGGGCATTGATTTTGTATCCTGCCACGCTACCAAATTGCTGTATGAGTTCTAGCAATCTTGGGGTGGAGGCTTTTGGGTTCTCTATGTAGAGTATCATGTCATCGGCGAAGAGGGAGAGTTTGACTTCTTCTTTGCCAATTTGAATGCCTTTAATGTCTTTTTGTTGTCTGATTGCTGAGGCTAGGACTTCCAATACTATGTTGAATAGCAGTGGTGAGAGTGGACATCCCTGTCTGGTTCCTGATCTTAGGGGAAAGGCTCCCAGTGCTTCCCCATTGAGAATGATATTTGCTGTGGGCTTTTCGTAGATGGCTTATAAGATGTCGAGGAAAGTTCCCTCTATCCCTACACTCTGAAGAGTTTTGATCAGGAATGGATGCTGTATTTTGTCAAATGCTTTCTCTGCATCTAATGAGAGGATCATATGGTTCTTGGTTTTTCTCTTGCTGATATGATGAATCACATTGATTGTTTTACGAGTGTTGAACCAGCCTTGTGTCCCGGGGATAAATCCTACTTGGTCATGGTGAATAATTTTCTTAATGTGTGGACCCAGATTTTGAATGAAAAATATATTTCACTGCTTTTTCAGTTAGAAGGAGGATTCCTAGTCTGTGGCTTATCTTTTCACTTTTTTCTTTTTTAAAGATTTTATCTGTTTATTCATGAGAGACGCAGAGAGAGGCAGAGACATAGGCAGAGAGAGAAGTAGGCTCTCTGTGGGGATCCTGATGCGGGACTTGATCCCAGGACCCCGGAATCACACCCTGAGTCACCCAGGCATCTCATCTTTTCACTTTTTCTTAATATCATCTTTTGAAGTACAAAAATTTTCAGTTTTTTTTTAATGCCCAATTCTATTTTTTTCATGGATCTTATTTCTGATGTCTTATAGAAGAGCTCTTTGCTTAACATAAGGTCATAAAAACTTTCACCTAGGTTTACATTTAGATGATGATCCATTCTACCTCTGAAATAAATCTTAATTCTATCTAATTTTTCTATCTAGGATTACCACCTTAGTTAGTAAATTCTTGTGAGAGTCTCTTAGCTGGTCTCTGCTTCCACTCCTGCCCTTACGTCAATTTTCCACATATCAACAAGAATGACCTCTCCAAAACTTAATTAGGTCATGTCATTTCCATATAAAACACACTTTAACGATGTTCCTTTGTAGTTGGAATAAATTTCTAACCTTTTTATGATAGCCAACTGGCTCTCCTTATCTCTCCAATCTCCTCTCATAAAATAAAAACAGCAACTGAATTTAAAAAAAAAAGGAACTTTAAGCTTGCCATCTAACTTGTATAATGTTTCAAGAAATATCTTATTCATAGTATATTCACTTTTTTTTTTTAATTTAAGAGGTCCTGAATAAAACTGTATACTCACTTAAGAAAGATGGTCTTTCATCTGGATTTTGTGCCCATCCACTTTCTATTAGAGAGATCATAAGTGCTCGATGAGGTATATCAAGTGGCAAACTTTCTTCATTAGTGTTTGGTCGATGTCCTTGTGATACACTATACATGATCTGCAAAGGATTGGTGACTTCTGTCAAAACAAATATATTTCATTCATTAGAAATATATTATGATTCAATATATTACTTAAATATATTCTAAAGTCAACCAAATGAAAATGAGGGAAACTTAAAATCTTAGGAGTAATGCATTGCCCCTAAGATTTTAAGATATATATATATATATATATATATTCCCCCCCCCCCTCTCTCTCTATATATATATATTTATAGCCTCTCCTCACCTAATTAATTTTAAGTTTGGTCATATGTCTGATTTGGTCAATGGGCTATGAATAGAAAAGACCTTAGTAGAAATGAGTGGAACCTCGCATAGCCAAGAGTGGCCACTCACACCTACTGTGAATGAGAAATATATATTTATTTTGTAAGCTACTAAGATTCTAAGGTTGTTACACAGCACGCTGACCCATATAATCCTCAAAATAAAGAAACGGACAATGTTATCAGAAAACCTAAAAATTCTTCTTCAATGTTTGCTGGCTGTTATGGAAGAAGCACTAATTAAATTTTCTAATTAAGAGTTTTAGAGCCTGAATTAATCTTAAAAATAAAAGTTCAAAATTTTCATTTTGCAAATAAAACAATGAAGACCCAAGATATTTAGTGGCTTGATCACAGAGGTAAGTACCGTCAGAACAAGTACTAGACTCTATGTATTTCTGACCCTTAATGCAGTATAGTTTCCAATATACAGTGGATTCAGAATTGATAAATTGTTTTCATAGCGTGTTTTCCAAAAAGTGAATGGTAGGCAAATTTAAAATAAGATAGGCTTTATTTATATAGTACTGGATGCGGCCTACCAACATGAAGTCATAGAATGAGGATATGAAAGTACACTTACCTTCAAAAGGCTGTTTTCTGGATAAGACTTCCCATGTGATCACTGCATAGCTGTTTAAGATAAAAATATTACATACAAGACATTATAAACTGACGATGCATAATAAACTAAAACAGCACTGATTTTAAAAGTTGACTGTGGAGATATCATTTTTGCAAGTGATAAGGTAGTGAAATGCTATATAAAGAATCACCATACACAACCAAGATGATGAATATTTACATAGTTTTGTTTTGAAAGGGAATTAATCCAATTTGAAAAATTAGCAAATTACTGCAATAAAATTTTGAAGTTCTATACAAGGATAATAGGATGATTCTTTAATGACCTCTAACTACACAATTCTATTATTCACACAAAATAAAAAGCAATAAAAAAAAAGATGGCCTCATGTAGCTCTATTCTATTGACTTTTTTTTTTTCTGGTCTAAGTACTGTCTCCTTGGTAGTGTTAACTGTTAACCACAGTTTCCCTCCCTCCTCTGTCAATGTCAAATAAGAAAAAAACCTTTTAGTACTATATTATAAATTGACAGAACAAGATACACTTTAAAGATGCCTTCCTTTCAGGTACTTTTACATCATTAAAAAAAATTTAATTTGAAAAATATTAACCACTGTGGCCTCTATTTTTATCACACTTATGAGACATAAGACTAAAAATCACACTTTAAAATGCAGCTTCGAAATTCTGATTAATATTGTTTTTAGACAAGCCAAAGTAATATATTATACCTATATATATCATGCTTGACACTGGCCCTTGATTTTTGTCCAGGTTCATAGTTCTCAGGTGGCATATAGATAATTGTCCCTCCTTCTGGTGAAGATTTACTAGTTCGTGATTGTGAGAGGGACATCATACGCCATTTTGATAAACCAAAATCTGCAATCTGTAAGGGAAAAGAGTAAATAATTGAATTTAAACCTTTTTTTTTCTTTAAAAAAAACAAGAACTGACTCTGTTTGTATTCACTGTATTCAGGTATGAGAGCAGAGAAAAAGTTCTATATTAATGTTTTATTTCTACATATTGTATCAGTTTCTTAATAAATTAAATTCTTGAGTACTGAGCCCAGTAACTCTAGAAGTAATACATACTGACCTGAAGTTCAGCATAATATCACAAATTTTAAAATGGAGGCTGAGTTTTAAAAAACAGCAGTATTTTTTGTCTTAAATTCTGAATGAGCATATATACCAAATAATACTTTTTAAGACAAGTAGTTTTGCGGCGTATGCTGCTACACGTCACAGAGCTGCTAAACTACTGGTATCTAATATGAGTGCCCCTGGGCATTGTTTGCAGCTCAGGTTTATATGTTCTTATTTACGATGTCCTGAAAATAGTAACCTTAAATTCTGAGGTAAGTAAAATTCTAATATAGCAGAGGTCATTATTACATGATTTATGCTTCCCCTAAAAGAATCATATAAAGCATATTTATGTCTATGGCAAAGACTGCTTAAGGAATTATTGGTGACATTTTATACTTTTGATATATCCTCTATGGTTTTGCCTCACTTATAAATTTTGTGCAGATGTCACACAACATCTTATAACTCTCTAACCTTTTAAATAGGTTCCTTTTTTTTTTTAAATTGAAGACAGAATATGAGAACAGAAGCAGTGTTTAAAAGACAAAAGGGTATAGTAAATCTTTAAAAACATTAAATTTAAATTACTTAGACCTTCACGTTGCACAAGTTAGGGTAAACAGAGGGAAATGAACTCTATCCGGTATACCATTTGTGTTTCAATTATTTGGCCCTTATATTTTTCTGCTAGTTTTAGTAGAAGAAAATTTGCTTAGTGTTTAGACGATTTTGATAATAAAAAATATTATGGCCCCACGCTAAAGAGAAGAGATAGACTATATGAATTTTTTCATATATTATTAAAATAAAAGGGAAGTCTAAGGAAAAAAATAGGAAAGACCAAGAGAAAACATGGTGCCAATACATACATGAAGAGCTGGATTGATTCTGAAAAGCAATATACCATGTGGCTAAGAACATGAGTTCTAGAACCTAGATTATTTACATTTATATTCCAATTCTACCGCTTTAACTGTGTGTCAACTTGAGCAAGTTTTTAAATTTTTCTGCGCTTCAGGTTATCCATCTGCAAACTGGGGATGATAACACCATCCACACTGCAGGGTTGTAGTGAGAAAATTAAACAACTTGTTCTAAGCAAAGCACTCAGAATAGTAGTATCACATAATAAGTGATCCTTATGTGTTAAGAATATTAATGTTTTGTATATAGGTTGCTCTTACTCAGTTTAATCTGTTCTTCCCACCTACCCTCTAAAATCAAAATCAGCACTACAGTTGCTAGAATAAAATGCATTACTATGATAAGTAGAGTTTATTTTTATGCTGCAAGTGAAAAAATGCTAAAAAAAAAAAAAAATCTGAGATGTGGTCTCACCTTATACCTGAACCATAATTTGCAAATTCCTGGGCTAAATGTTGGCTTGAACACAGCGTTGTGGAAACTGTATTCCTGAGCTTGCTTCCTATGTGCTCCTTCACCCAAGATTTTCATCTTTGTTTTCAAACCTGACCTAAAAACCTTAATCAGAATTCTCTCTCTCTGAGCTGATTTAGTTTGGTTTTCATGTAGAACTCCACTTTTCCCCTTCATTACAAATATCATTACGAATATTATTATGAAAGGCATGACTCATTAAATTTGGATCTTCAGACAGAAGGAAAAAAATGAATAATGTGAGGGAAGGAATAAGAGTTCTAAGATTTCTTAAGGTCTTGCTAAATTTATCCTTCAGCCATGACGACAGAGAATAAGAATTTACCCATTCTACCTACACAAGATCTTAACATGCGTTTTGAAGCTAAAGGCTTTCTTTTTAAATAAAAAGATGATTTTAAAGATTAGAGGAAATTAAAACACACTACTCATAAAAATCATCCACAACCCTAGCACCCTATTAGAATAGCTATTTTTATTTACATACACTATCCACATCTACTACACTATAAAGTTATTATCAGTAAGAAGTTATGAAGAATAACCCTGAAGTATTCTGGTTTCCACTTAGGACCAACAGAAGAGCAGAGAAACCAAATATGGCATATATAAACATTTTCATTTCAAAGAAGTCTATCACTGGTTCATTTGTATCTAAGGTACACTAATGGACACTTGGCAGATTATCAAACAATGTATTCTTTTTAAAGCAGAAAAGTATCAGTTGACCTTAATCAGGAGTAAATATTTTTCTTTCAGATAACGAACGTTTCTGGTCAACATTCCAGTGAGAAAACTTACTTCAGAAAATGATAGAAAGGTGTCAATTTCCATTTAATTTCATTAAGTATTTTTATTTATTTATTTTTTAAAGATTTTATTTATTTTTTCATGACACAGAAAGAGGGAGAGAGGCAGAGACACAGGCAGAGGGAGAAGCAGGCTCCATGCAGGGAGCCTGACGTGGGACTAGATCCAGGGTCTCCAGGATCAGGTCCTGAGCTGAAGGCAGGCGCTAAACCACTGAGCCACCCGGGCTGCCCATAACTTCATTAATATTTTTAAAGATATTTTGCAATTCATTTAAAGAAGAAGATTCATTTAAGTAACTGCTACTTTTCCATGAGTCAGTGATAAACTTTGACTTTTAAAGGGACATTTATAAAGTAACAAGCAGAGACACATAAGTTGCATGTAAAAGAATGTCGCTAATTTATAGGAATAGTATTACAAAGTTCACAGTTTTGTATGTACTGAGAGTAATAAAAATTATAAAAACTAAACAAAGTCAAATTATTCTAAATTCTATTCATATTAAAGAAAGACCAAGGACATCCTGCTGATCAGTGAAAAGCATTCCCTATTTATTACTTTGCTTTATTTTTCTCTGTTAAGTATAGTTTCCAGACTGAGATGAAGAAAATAAAGTCCAAGGACATTGCTTTAAAAAGTGCAAATCTCAGGTTATTTTATACATATTTCAGGTTATCAAGAATACTTGCAAGTACCTCTACGGTGCTATTAGCGCTCTTTGTGAGACAGAATGGAGGTACTACAGAATATGAGAAAAGTAAATGGTATTCTGACTTTTAAAAAGGAAAAATATAATATTGGCTTTGCAAATCTACTTATTGATAGAGACTATTCTTAATCTTTGCTTTAAAAATTTAGAAAATGCAATAAAAGGTGTATCAGCAGGAATTCATGAAAAACAAATCACATCAGATCAGTGATCAACGTCAGGTCTCGTGTGCTTGGCACAATGCCTTGCACACTACTGCTGCTCCATAAATATTTACTGAATAAAACTATGACCAATTTCATTTCCTGTTTTGACGGCAGTAGCACCATCAAAGAGTAAATGTTTAAACAGTTTGCATATTATAAAACACTTTGTCATTTTATACAACATGCTTGACTATTAAGTTAGCGGGCTTATCTGCTATATACAAAAGATCTGGAATTCATTCATTTGTTTATTCAACAGGTACTTAGTTAATGCTTCAATATGGCACGTACTGAGCAGGTGGCGGTTAATAGACTAAATTTCAATCTTCATGGGGTTTATAGTCTAATTTGGGGAGACGGTCAATAAACACATTAATAAAAAATATTATGACAGATGGTGAAAAATAATATGAAGAAACATAAATCAAGGTACAAAGACATAGAGGAATTGGTTGGGTCATCAGGGAGTTGTCACTCTGAAGAAGGTGGGGGGAGAAGCCAGGAGGACATGTGGGAAGGTAGTCAAGCAAGGTCTTCTCTTAAGGACAAAATGGAACAATATGGGCTGTATTAACAGCTCTCTTAGAAGTATTTAAACAAAATCAATGATTATTCTCCAAAAGGGCTGGTTAAGGATTGATATTGACCTGGAGGGAGGTTCTGAGCACCATGTTGTGTGGCTCTGATCTGAGTTCTGTCCTAGTTAATATTTAAACATGGCTTAAAGATACAAAAACCAGCTAATTAAATCTGAGGAGGACACAAAGCTGGAAGACAAAGTTGAAGCCCTTGGGCTACAGAAATAATACTGAAAAAGATCTTAAGAGGCTGAAGTGATTACTCATATCTAACAAGATAATGTCCAGAAAGTATTCTGGCAAAGTACATGATTGGGAGATGTGGCTTAAGCAACACTATCTGAACAAAAGAGCTTCTCAGGGTTTGTTGATGCTGAGCCCAATTTAAATGTTGTGATATAACCCCCCCCCCCAAAAAAAAGCCAATGAATCATGAAGTATTAAGCAAAGTGTTTAGGGACCAGGGAAAACACATCCATTTAACTCTACATTCATCGGGTCACATCAGGAGATTTTGTTCCGTTGTGAGGATAAAAATTTAATGGAGATTTAAACACAGAAGGATCTGGATAGCACCTGCAATTAAAATCCACATATTAAGGAAATTGGTTCAAAGAACTATGGATGTTCAGAAAAGAGCAAAACACAAGTGTATGTGAGGGGCAGGGGTATTACAGCCGTCTCTGAACATTGAGAGGGCTGTGATATGGAAGGAGAATTGGACTTACTCAGTTCATCACAAAGAATAGAACTAGGACCCATGGATGGAAACAAGGGGAAGATGTTTTGATTGATCATATAAGAAAATGTTGCAATCATTTAAGTATGGATATTAAGACTCCCCGGTCATAGGATAGCTCCCTTGGGAGACAAGGGTCTATAGTGAGGATTCAGGGACTTGCTGACCATGAAGGCATTTCTATTTGTGTGGTTTTTATTGCCAATGTAATAGACTAGTTTTCTTTTTTTTTCTTTCTTTTCTTTCTTTCCTTCCTTCCTTCTTTTTTTTTGTAATACCAAGGTGGCAGTTTGCTTTTTTTCCTTTCCCTTTCCATTTTATTCTAGGAAGAGGAAGTGCCTTTAACAGAGGCTTCTTTTTTTTTTTTTAACTTTTCTCACATTTTTTGTACCAATTTTTCTATTGTTCCAACTTCCTTGTGATTTTTTTCTTTGGATGACTTTTGATATTTACAGTAATCTTCAGTTAATATATATATTATTATAAGAAGTGTACCGAAATAATATAAAAACAAAGTGAGTTACACTTAGTATTAGTTACATAGCAACTACTTTTTATTTGCTGTCATCAGTTAGATATAGGGTAAACTATGAAATCACTATTGGATCTGGTGCCTTTAAGGCACCTAAATCTTATGCTTTATACAAAAGTTCATTCAAAGTAGTTCCTAGGGGCACCTGGGTGGCTCAGTGGCTTGACTGTCTGCCTTTGGCTCAGGTCGTGATCTCCGGGTCCTGGGATCAAGACCTGCATCAGACTCTGTGGAGGGACCCTGTTCCTCTCCCTGCCTATGTCTCTGCTTCTCTCTCTGTGTCTCTCATGAGTAAATAAACAAAACCTTAAAAAAAAAAAAAAAAAAAGTAAATCCTAGATTTAAGTGTAAAACATAAAACTCTAAACTTTTAGAAGATAACATAGAAGAAAATCTTCAATATCTATGGCTTGATAAAGGCTACTTAGATGTGACAGCAGAAAAGTATCATAAAGGAAAAAAAAACCCCAAATATATTAGACTTCATCAAAATGAAAATTTCCCTTTGTGAAAGACCCTCTTAAAAGGATGAAAAGAACAAACTACCAACTGGGAGAAAATATTTGCGAACTACGTATCTGATAAAGAGTTCATATCTAAAAAAAAATCTAAAGAACTCTCTACACACAATAGTAAAAATCTAAAGGATCCAACTTGAAAACAGGCTTAAGACACGGAGAAACATTTCACTGAAAAGGATATATAGATAGCAAATGAGAAAATGTTCAACATCATTAGCCATTAGGAAAATGGGATTAAGACTATGATAAGCTATCACTATATATCTACTATTTACAGTGCTAAAATAAAAAACTGTGACAATACCAAATGCTGGTGAGGATATGGGAAAACCTAGGTCTATCATACATTGCTGGTAGGATGTATAAACTATTATTCTATAAATAAACTAAACTATAATAATAAACTAAACTATAAATATTCTAGAGAAAATAGTTTAGTAGTTTTCTAAAAAACTAAACAAACCCTTATCCAGCAGTTGCAGTTCGTGGACACTTATCTAGAGGAATGAAAACTTACGTTCACTCAAAAAGTTGCACAGGATTGTTCATAGTTTTATTGTAACTTCTAAAGATTGTAAACAATACAAATATCTTGCAGTAGGCGGATAGTTAAAACAACTTTGGTATACACATACCATGAATACTACTAATAAAAAAGAACCCATTATTGACATAAGCCAACAATTTAGATGGATCTCAAAGATATTATGCTAAGAAACAAAGCTGATCTCAAACCATCACATACTGTATGATTCCATTCATGCAGCATTTTCAAAATGACAATATCATAGAGATGGAGAACAGATTAGTGGTCTTGTCAGTGGTTAGGGATATTGGAAGGGAGGAGATGAGTGTGAATATAAAGGGGCAGCATGACTGATATTTTTGTGGTGATGGAATAGTGCTGTATCTTGATTGCTGTGATGGTCACACACGTGATAAAGTAACACAGAAACTACATACATGCATTGTACCAATGTCAAAATTCTGGACGTGAAATGGTACTATAATTAGGTGTGATGTAACCACTGGCAGAAACTAAGTGAAGGGTTGACTGGATCTCTGTATTATCACTGCAACTTCCTGTGAATCTGTAATTGCGAAATTAAAAAAAAAAAAAAAAGGTTCACTTGATAATTTCAGTGAAGGACAAAATGAATTTGTAATTTGTACCATGATTCTATGTGCCTCTGGAGTCTAGGAATAACTAAGCCACTGCAGCTGGAAGAAGGGACACCGAAAAAAAGAATTACAGGCTTCGGAAAAGGGAGAGAGATTAAATTGGCTAGGTAGAGAAAAAAACTCTAAGAAGTCTTTAAAACTATTCATCTCAAGGATGCAGATAAACTTTTTTTTTTTTTAAGTTAATTACCTTAACATGGAATTCATTATCCAATAAGATATTTTGAGTCTTCAAGTCATGATGTAGTAGAGGAGGATTCATATTGTGCAGATAGTTTACCCCTAGTGCAATTTCATGCAGGATACGAAATCTCAGTGGCCAAGCAACATCAGGATATTCTGTTTTCTTCATATACATGAAAATAAACAAAACTAAAAATAAGTGACCATATTCATCACATTTCAATTTAGAAAATCAAATATTCCACGTGGAAATATAGTATAAACAGAGATCAAGACATGTTTAGTTTTATTACATAGTATCACGGTATCAATTTGACATTATTTAACATTCATGTTATCTTATTTTTAGAAAAAATAATGATGACTTTATAGTACTGATATTTCCTTTTAGTTTGTGTTGGCTATATAATCACATGCTATTGGCTCTTCTTTTTTTATTTAACACGGTTTTCAATTTTTTTTTTCCACATATGCCTATACTCACACCTATCTCTCATTCTATGGTTTTTATCAAGTAACCTATATGTACATACACAAACATACACAACATTTGTTTCTAGTATATACCAAACCATTAATTCAAAATTTATGTTAATTTTCCCATTGACATCATACTTTAGTTATAACAGTCCAATGATTAAATCAAATCAATTAAAATTATGGCCATATTATATTTATTAAACATGAATATCTCCTACTTCTTATCATATACTTTTTGTTTCCTAGCTTGAACACTTAGCCTTTGGGAATTTTGCTTTTGTGAATGAGACAAAAGACTACCTTTATTTCTAAGTGTATGTAATATAGACATATTTAAAATATATGATTTGTATTTGATTTGTATTTCCCGGTACTTACACGTGATGTTCACCTGAACTTCTGAACATAAAAGTTATGTAGCTTCCCAGAAGAATGAACATACTCAGAAAAATTAGATACTTTGAGGAGATGTGACATTAAACTATTAGGCACCAAGCTATTGGCTATATTCTAAATGACATGAAAAAGTATGCCTTTACTGAAAGCTCAAATCTGTTCTTGAGAATCTTTTCTGTGAATGGGTAAGCTTATGGTTTACTGATTAACCTGGTGTTTACATTTGTATTTTGATTTTTTTTTTTTTCAGCACTCTTCTTAGGGTTGGGGAGACGACTTCGAGATACATCCCACTCTAATAATACAACACAGGAAACCAAAAGAAATACATTACTTCCTCTGCTATACACAGACCTCTATCCCAGTAACTGAATCTTTTAGTTTGTACAAAGGTAATTTTCTTCCGAAAATTATGTAGTTCAAAGGAGTAATGAGCCTCTGTGATCATAGAGACAGTAGTAGAACGCTCACTCTATATGCTATGATTCCTTCTGGGAGTTGGTAGTCCCCTGAAGCAGTCTCTATAGCTTCTAGTGGGCTGCAATTTTGGATATCAGAGTATCTAATGGGTATTGGGGTATGGGAAGAAAATATGAGAATTTATACTTATATTCATTTTTTTTTAAAAAAGGAAATTGTGCTAAGTGATATTTGTGTCTTGGTTGCTGTGATAGTTATACAAATCTTATACATGGACAATAGTCCTCGTCTCAAATGGTCTCCTCATTAATAGGAAGTGATGTACTCAGAAATAAAGAGGAAGTCATTCCATGAGTGGCTGACAGTGGTGCCCACTCTCCCTTGTTTGCTTACAGAACATTGTGAAGTATCAGAATTTAGGAGCATCTACTAATAGGATTTTACGGATTATGATACCAGGTTTTAACTAAACCCTCACAAAATAGACCAAGTAAATTTAAAAAATTATTTCTTAAGAGAAACTGCAGGCTGCAGGTAATATTAATAAGATCAAGCAAATACATAGTTTGAGAATAAGGATCTACAAATTTTCTTACTGGTAAGAATGAGGACCCACCCCTCCAGTTAGCTTACTGACGGGATTCCCAATCAAAGCCAGAGTAACTGGTACTGTGGCAAGAAGGTAAATGGCTCATGCCATTGAGTACCGATGTATTTGGTAGTCAGAGTCAGATTTACTAGGCCTATTCAGAACTTTATGGAATGGTACTACTAACATTTAATTTGAATCCTAAATTGTTTTTAACATAAAACCTGGCTTAATTAACAGATGATTATATCGTGTGCAGAGTTTATCTTTTCTCTCTTCCTCTCCTACCTCTGTAACTATACTGGAATTCAGTTTAAACTTCAGGAAGAAGTTTAAGCTATTTAAGCAAAATAGCTTCAGTCTTGCAGAATGTGAGGTCTGACTCCATGGTATTTTTAACAACACAAAAAAAGCCATAAACTGTGTAACTTTACCACTGTCATTGTTTTCCATTATTTTTATTTTGACTCATCTATATCTCTCCAAAAAATCTGGTCATCTGTAAAACCAAAACACTAGATAGCTTCAAAAATAGAATCATAGCTTCTGGAAATGCACAATACTTACCCTGTGTAGGAGTTCATTTAATGATCCATTTGGCATGTATTCCGTAACTATTCCCAAAAATTCAGGCTCATTGCAAATTCCCAAAATTGGAAGAATGTAACTAAATCTAGCTTTGTGTAAAATTTCAGCTTCTCTTAAAACATCATTTCTTTCACTAAAGAAAGAAAATGTATAATTATTTCAAAGTAATGAAAAATATACAATAATCATACCAATAACATTAAGACTAGATTTTTTTCCTAATTGACCTCGTGTAAATTATATAACTTCCCTGTCCCTTTATTTCTTTGTATTTAAAGTAGGGGTGATACTTGTCCTATACATTCCACAGGTCTGTTTAGAGACCATACTAACTTCTCTGAGCCAGTGACAGAAAAAGGTGCTATACACATGTTATCATTATTGTACTCTCCTACGAAAGGGAAAAGACACAATATTTGAGTAACTATAAAGTCTATCTATATTAGGATGGTTGCTGTTTGAATTAAAGCTTATGTTGTACTAGAATATTGTATTTGATTAGAGTATTATATTGAATTTCATGGCTGCATACCACATATATTTTTTCTAGAATATTTAAATAATACATTTAAATGTTGTAGATTTAAATGACTAGATGATAATAGTTGCATAAGGGTCAAAAATGCTTAGAAATTATACAGTGGAACTCAGGAAAAGCACACTTAGAACAGGTAAGTGCTTATAACAGATCCCTGGGGTAACTCTGGATCCCAGGTTCATTTGCTCATTCATTCATAAAACCAATAAATATTGAACATTTATTATGAATAAAGAACTATGCTCAACATTATGGAGAATATAAATATAGTCTGTGTCCTCAAGCTGCCAAGAAACCTTTTAAGAAAAATACCTATTGCGGTTTTGATTTGCATTTCCCTGATTAGTGATGCCGAACACCTTTTCATATATACCTACTGTCCATTTGTAGGTCTTCCTCGGATGTGTTAATTGTCATGATCTTGGTAATCATGCCACAGTGTATATCAAATCATCATGTTGTCCACTTCTAACATACATGATTACATCTGTCAATTATCCCGCAATAAAGTAAAAAAAAAAAAAAAGCAAGCAAGCAAGCAAGCAAGCAAATGAATAAACAGAGAACTATGGGGAACTCAGAAAAAGCAGTAAACCTTGGGCTAGGGGAGCTGACAGTCTTTAGAATATCAAACATTGGTAAAAGGGCAGCCAAGATGGATGTGGCCTCCAAGAAGGGAGGACTCTGCCTTTCTTTTTTGTCCATGTGTCTCCAGGACCTGAAACAGGGCCTGGCACCTGACAGATATCTAATAAACTATGTACCAGATGTATTCAAAGAAGTTACAGTGACGGTTGTGTTTAGAAAATGGTAAATTGTTCGATACGAATCAGGATACATCATAGAACATATGAAAGGAAGGGAAATGAATAGAGTAGGCTGGAGCCTCATCGCAGAGCCCTAAAGCCAGGTGAGGGTGTTTACACTTTATTTGATAGTCAGCAAATTGTGATTGCAGGTTTTTGAGCAGGGTAATGACATGAGCAGGACAAACGTTTAGGATGATTAGCTTGGCCAAAGGACGTAGGGTCAGCAGAAGCGGGCAGAGTGTAGAAGTTCGGTGTTAGGATGTTACAATACTAACTGAGATGTGAAGGAATGAGAATCTGAAACTATAAAGGTCTCAGTGAAAATGTTAAGAAAAACACTAGCTCAACAGAATGCCCAGGGTGTGGTGACTAAGGTAGACATAATAATAAAAATAAAAATGAAAAAAAGCAAAGGAATTGGAAATGTCACTGGTTTTTACCATGGATGGAGGTGTTGGTAGCAGCAGTAACAGAATAGAAACATCTCCAGGAGAAGGTTATTGAGTAAGCGATGATGATTAGTTGGTGCTTAAACCACTCAAGCTCTGGATGAATGGCTGTTGAAATAAGAAAACAACAGACACTCCACACCAGACCAGGAGGCTTGCTTTAAAAGCAAATGAAAAGCAAAATAAAGCGAAAAATCTTAAGTCATGTCCGTTCTGAATAGATAATATATTCATACGTTTTAAAATTAAAGAGTTCCAAGAGGTCCTAAAGTAAAAAGCTTTTTCCTTCTCCCTTTCTTCAGCCACTTAACACCCCAATTGTGAGGCAACCAGTGATATGTTTATGAGACCTGTCTTGATTAAACTTATCTTCTTTAAATTTAAGGAGTTCTGTGATTGCCTCAAAAGATGGAAGTCAACAAGAGCTACATCTTACTGTTCAGCATACTGCAGACAGAGAACGGATTTGAAAATTTCTAGGAAAAAAAAAAGAAAATTTCTAGGTATACTGGAAAAAAAAAACCACTATAGAGAGAGCATGCTGGCGAAGTCTCAGTGATACTTAATATACCTGTTCTTTCTTACATTAAGAGTATCAGGCATTCTTCCTTCTATTGTGATCCTATTATGCGTCAGCCACTTTATATGCACTAGCACCCAAACACCAACCTTCTAGAGCTGGTTACCTTATCACCCCTTTAAATGAGGGCACTGAGGCTCAGATACATTAGAAAGGCCTTCTCTATAAGGCCGACATTAAATGGCAGGGTTGCAATCAGGTTTGAATTGCAGTTGTGGGACCCAAAGCCTGTGTTCTTTCCATTCCACTGCTTGATGGGAGAAAGGAAAGGATCAAGGAAAGTTCTTGAAGTCAGATTTCGGGAAGACTGAGTGAGTGGCAAAACCGAAAAAGCCAAAAATAAATAGGTCTAAGACAGGCTTTTATATTTCTAAAAACAAAAAAAAAAATGTAAAATACAACTTTTTAGAGGCATATCACCAAAATTACCCAAATCAAAATTTCAGTCGCAGGGTGTTTGAACAACTGATGAGACTCATCTACACAGAAAGAGTCAGGAGATGGTAGGGGAAGGCCCACTCACTGGGCAGAAGTCACTAAAATAAGAACACATAACTGCACATAAACTTGTTTTTCTTTTCCTTCCTTCCTTCTTTTTTTCTTTTCCCTTTCTTTTCTTTTCTTCTTTTCTCTCTCTTTCTGAACAATGCAAACATTTTCCACACCGGAGCCAAAGTACATACAATTATTATTCCCACTTTATAAGTGAGTAAATGGACACCCTGTGAGTCAACTGCATAGCTCAGTCCAATGCTCAGATTGCATAAATACTGTGAATGCTAAGATCTTAGGTAACAGGTAGGGGAAAGAACCTGATGCAATAATGTCAAAGGATTTAACTGGTCCTTACGGCCTCTTTGACCACAGAATTCCCTACCAATTTTTTTTTTTTTTTTTTTTTTAAATTTTTTTTTATTTATTTATGATAGTCACACACAGAGAGAGAGAGAGAGAGAGAGAGAGAGAGAGAGAAGCAGAGACACAGGCAGAGGGAGAAGCAGGCTCCATGCACCGGGAGCCCGACGTGGGATTTGATCCCGGGTCTCCAGGATCGCGCCCTGGGCCAAAGGCAGGCGCTAAACCGCTGCGCCACCCAGGGATCCCAGAATTCCCTACCAATTTACTGAAGAGTTTTAGGTTATGAAAATTGTTGATAAGAATAGAAAAGGGAACCCCCTCTTCATTCCTTTGATCTCAAATAGCACACAACTGGGATACACTGAACCCTTGAGGAGCAGCATCCAAGATGGGCAGATCAATTTGCTGTAGAATACGTAACGGGGCCATCAGGGTTAGTTACCCATAGATTTTCATAGCTGATTCTAAAATACTATCACCCTTTCTAACCAATCACCACCCTTCAAACTTGACTACATACACGTACCCACCTTTGCCCAGCACTTGCCCCACAGAACTCAAGGCCCAGGTGAAACAGACACCACATCTTATCTAACACAAGACCTGGATTGTGATCATATAAAGAGTGGGAACAATTTCTAGAGGTGTCTCAAATTTACTGTGAGATCTCACCCATCTAAGCCTGATAGAAAGCAAAGAAAAGCTACAGGCTGATGAAAGCCCCATAAATTCACAGGGCTGAAGCTGAGGAATTTATCTGTCATAGGATACTAACGGCCCCTGACCAGACACCCGGCATGATGAATTGGGATATTAGGTAGGTGGGGGGGGGGGGGGGGGGGAGAGGAGGATGTTGCAATCATGGATGTTAACTCACTAAGGACTGAATGCAGGGCCTGGGAGAATGGAAGGAAAATATGCAAGACCAATGACTCCAGGAAGGAAAACACGCAAGACCAATGCCTAGACCCACTGACCAACAGGCTGGATCACAGGGCAATGGCAAGAGGACTGAGATGCTTCTCTGGAAACAGAAGCTGCTGGCTCTCCCTGACAACCTAGACGGTGCACGGAGATTGTTCCAGGATGCGAGTGGCATTCAGAACTCCTGGAACAATACGATTCAGCGCATTGTTCGCAAACTAATACCCACACGTCCTCTGGGGGACCAGGCCTCCCTGGCCGAGAGGAGAAACTGAAGCGAGTGGAGCGTGGAACCTAAACTTTCAGGACTCTACGTAATAATCCACAAACCAAGCCAAACCCACCGCAGCCCCACACCGAAGCACCCCGGCTTTTGGCGTCTGGAGGGAGGGAGCCCAGGACTGGGAGGGAAGGAGGAGACGCAGAGGGCAGCGGAGAGGGCAGAGGAAGGCGACGGAAGCATCTCCAGGGAAGCCGGTGCCCCCCCCCGCCCCCGTCCCCGCGCAAGGCCCGAGCCCCGGAGGGCTGCCTGGAGGCGGCGGGGCTGCAGAGCTGGCTCGCCCGGGGCTCCGCGGGGCGCCCTACCTGTCGCGCAGCGCGCTGTGGATGTGCAGCTGCTTCACGGCCACCTGCACGCGCCAGTCCGCGTGGCGGGCGGACGACACGGTGCCCGACGCGCCGCGGCTCAGGTAGCGCAGGTCGGCGAGCTTGCGGCAGGGGATGGTGGGCAGGGCGCTGCGGGGGCCCTCCCGGCTCATGGTCGCGGGCGCGGCCGCTCGGGGTGTGCCCGCCGCGGCGGAGGCTTCCGGAGAGGCTCGGGGGCGCCGCGCTCGGGCGGGGGGCCGGGAGCTGGGGGCGGGAGCCGGGGGCGGGAGCGGGAGCTGGAGCTGGGGAGGGGGCGGGAGCTGGAGCTGCGGAGGGTGCGGGGGCTGGGCCGGTGGCTGGAGCCGGGGAGGGGGCGGGAGCCGGGGGCTGGAGCTGGAGCTGGGGAGGGGTGCGAGAAAGGGGGAGGAGGCGGGAGCGGGAGCGGGAGCCGGAGAGAGGGGCGGGGGCTGGAGCCGGAGCTGGGGCCGGAGCCGAGGCTGGAGCGGGAGCTGGGGCGGGAGCTGGGGAGGCGGAGCGGGAGCCGGGGAGGGGGCTGGAGCGAGAGCCGGGGCTGGACCAGAGCGAGAGCCGGACGGGAACGGGAGGCGGAGCGGGAGCCGGAGCCGGAGCCCGATGGCAGCCGGAGCCGGAGCCGGAGCCGGGGCGGCCGGGCCCTTCCCGCGGCGGGGCACTAGGTGCCGGGGCAGCCCATGCCCCGCGCGGCGCACGCCAGCCGCCGCTGTCCCGCAGCCCGAGTGGACTCCTCTTCCCGGGGCCGCCGGCCGCTCTGCGGCGCCTGCGCGTCGAGGCGGCGCCCCTCCCTCCCCGAGCTTCCCCCGTGACGTCAGCGGCGGGCCCCGGGCGGGGGGGAGGGGGAGGGGGACGTCTGCATCACGTGGGGCGGCGCCCTCGCTCGGGGCGACACCTGCGGCGGGGCGGGGCGGGGGCCGCTTGTCCTCCCTCCGCCGGAGGAAGGTTCCTCGCAGCCGGCAGCTCGCGGGCCGAAGGGCCAACGGGGCCTCCCCGGGGAGGGAGCGCGCGGGACCCGGGGCCGTGGGGGGCGGGGGGGCGGGGCGCGGCTGCCGCCTGTGCGCCTGCGCGGGGAGTGGGCGGGGGAGTAGGCGGGGCGGGGCGGGGCGAGGGCTCAGGTCTCCTGCCCACCTGGACGCCGCACCTGGGCTCCGGGCTCCGCTCGGGTGCTCCTCTCCTAGGGACCTACTTTTCTATCTTTCTCTTTATTTTTCTTCTCTCTATCGTCCATAACTCTATGGAGGTGGAAAAAGTGACTTTGGGAAGTCAGTCCCTCTGGCTCCAGGTAAGACTGCGAAAATTCCCTTCTCATTCCCGAAGAACTGGGAAGAATGCAGCTCATTTTTAGTGTCCACCCCCAAACAACCAAACATCTTTCCTTTAAAACAAAACAAAACAAAACAAAAAAAACATAGAACAAACACTTTCCTACTTGGATGATTATTTTGTAGCGCGTGAGTGCAAATATTGGATATAACACTAAGTGCATCCTGGGCATTTTAATGAATTCTAAGACCCCAACAATAAGGAATGCTTGCCTTCGATGGGGGATTTCTGTCAGCAGACAACAAATGTTTCCTGTACTTTTGTGTTGCCTGAAAGGAGACTAGCAATGTTACATTTTACAATACTAGGAAGTTGTAATGAGACATTGTCTTAAAATTTTGGTCATTTACAATAAAATATTTAGTATTAAAGATACAGTATGATACCCTGTGCTTTATTGCTTAATACATTTTTTGCTACAAAAAGTGCTCAGAAAACTTTTCCCATTCATTCATTCATTCTTCCAGTGACTTAATAAACTAAGAGTTCCAAAAAAAGAACAAAAAATAATAGGAAGCGAAGAAACGATCGAAACAATAATTCAAGAAGTTTTGGCAGGACCAAAGGACAGGGGTCTCCCTATTGAAAGGGCCCCCAATACACACAGTGGATGTAAAAAGACGTATATGGAAGCACATCATTAAAAAGGTCAGAACCCTGAGAATAAATAGGAGATTCTACAAGTTTTCAGGAGGAAAAAACAAGGATAAAATGATGGGGATTAGATTTTTCAACAATAACACTTTTATGCTAAAACTCAGTGAAGTGAAATTTCTTCAAATTCTAAAAGACAGTAACTTCCAAACAATTCTACAGTCAGCCAAACTATCAAGTATAAGGGCAGAATAAAAAATGTTTTCACATATAGAAAGATGCAAATGTTTTCTTTCCTTCTATCTACTTTTTTTTTCTTGAAAGAAAGCTACTGGAGGATGTGCTCCAAGAAAACATGGGCATAAATCACGAAAGAGAAAGACATAGGATCCAGAAAACAGGACCAGGAGAATGTGAAGGTAACACCCAACATTTCACAGAATTAGCATCCTTTTTTTTTTTTTTTAATTTTTATTGGATCATGGAGATGGCCGACTCCAAGAGAGTACTCCAGTTAGAATGATAGATTTCATAGATGATCTACTCTTGCAATTTTGGGAGATTATATTCATAGATGTTTGATAGATCTAAGGAAATATGTGATAAAAATTGGAGAGAGGACTTACAAAAATCTAAATGCAAAGCAATTGTTACTTCTGTGAGAGATAAAAATACAGAAACAGAAACAACATTTTGACAGGCTGGCTGGCGTTGGTGCAAAGGACAAGTGTTTTCAGAACTTTTATCATAGTGGTATAGTATGAATCCCCAAGGTGAAGAGCTCCAGGAGCATGACGCATAGAAATCTACAAAATTTATATTTTAATTACATTGCTTAAAAATAAGTAATATATGCACACGGTTCAACATTAAAAAGGATAAAACAGATAATCCCATGAAAAACTGGGCTGAAGACCTAGACACCTCACAAAAGGGGGTATCTAAATAGCAAATAGCAAATGAAGGAGTTAAGGTGCTCAATACTGTTAGTTATCAGGGAACTACAAGGTAAAAACCACAGTATGATACCGCTACACAGATACTAACTAAAAATTAAAAAGACAGAACACAGCAAGTGTGAGTGAGGATTTGCACCAATGGAAACACTCAGACGCTGCTGGTGGGAGTGTCAGTTCTTACAAGTAATTTGGCAAACTGTAAAGTAGCTTCTGTTAAAAAATTGTGGCTATGCAAATTCTATGACACATCAGTTCTTCCTCTAAGTATGTGGATATGTTTTTGCAAATGTTCGGGTGTTCATAGCAGTGCTATCTGCAATAGCTTCAAACTGGAAATTGTCCAGATACCCATAAACTGTAGAGTTGGGCAAATAAATCGTGGCACATTTAAACAATGGAACACTAAACAGCAATGAGATTGGACAACGCACAACAACCTTGATGAATCACGCAAATATAACGTGGAATGAAAAAAAATCAGACACAAAAGAATATACACTTGTATATTGTATGAGTCTGTGTCTGTTAAGTACAAAAATGAAACTGTGCTTTTATAAATCAGAATACTGACTTCTCTTGTAGGGAGAAAGATAGTGACTGGAAGGAGCATGATGAGACTTCTGGGGTGATAGTAATGTTCTGTTTCTTGGTCTAGGACCTAGACTCTAGGTGCCAGTAACATGGGTGTGTTCACTTTATGAACAGTCTTTGGGGTTACACTTAACATGAACTATTCTGTATTTTGTTATACCCAATAAAAAGTTAAAGTTAATAGGTTTAAATATAAAATTCATATATGGATGTGTATTATGTCTCTCATCTTATGTAATTAGTTTCACACTGTACCCTGTTCACCTTGCTTGTTTTACAGTTGCAGTGTCTCTTGGGTATCTTTCCACGTGAATGCGTAAGAAGTTTCCTCATCCTCTCTTTGTAATGGCTGGTGTATATACTATAATTTGTCCCCTGTTAGGGGACACTTAGATTATTTCCATATATTTTCTATTACGAATAATGCTGCAAAAAATAATCATTACATATGTCATTTGTACTTGTACAAATATATCTACATATGTAATTCCTAGAGGCTGAATTGCTGGACCAAAGAGTTATGCCCATTTGTAATTCGCGTTTATCTGGTTATATTATATTGTCAAATTGCTCTTCATTGAGGTTGTACCAGTTTTTGTTTTTTTTTCTCCCCTGCAGACAGTAAGAGTGCTGTTCGTCCACACAGTTGCTTTCATTTCCTTTTGAGATAGATGGTACAATGCTGGCCTGCTGATTACTGGAGTTCAGTGCTTCTAAACTCATTTAAATGCTAATGTTCTTTTTATTGCAAAGCTTCTAAATAGTTGATTCATTTTTTTTATTCCAACCTCAGACCTTTAGCTTTCATGATAGTGTTCACCATTACACAGTGTAAAAAATGTATTCCTGGGGCACTTGGGTGGCTGAGCCAGTGGTTGAGCCTCTGCCTTTAGCTTAGGTCATGATCCCAGGGTTCCAGGATCCAGTCCCGCATCAGGCTCCCCACAGGGAGCCTGCTTCTCCCTCTGCCTGTGTCTCTGCTTCTCTCTCTCTGTGTCTCTCATTAGTAAGTAAATAAAGTCTTAAAGAAAATGTATTCTTAGTCATATATGTATTGTTTAATTCTCAGAATTAATTAGCTAAAGACAGAAAACTTAAAGAATATTGATACTGAATTATCTCAACTAAATGAGAAAAAAATGGAATACTTACACAAATTAGGTGAAAAAATAAGTATCACCTTTGTATGTTGAATTCATCGTTTCAAAATTCTGTAAAATCACAGTAAGGTTTGTTTTTCCATTTACTGAGAATTAAGGTTATTTATACCACAGGTGCTATTTTATTAAGTAGTAGGTTGAAATCTCCAATATTTCTTCAATTAGAAAAAAGGGGCAGCCCTGGTGGCTCAGCGGTATACCTAAAAAGATGTTGAGTCTTAAACCTCATTACCTGTCAATTTAACCATATTTGGAAATAGGTCTTTGCCTCAAATTAAGATGAGATAATTAGGATGGGGCCTAATCCAGTGACTAGTATCCTTATAAGGAAATTGTGACACAAACAGGCATACATAAAATGAAGATATTGTGACAACGCGGGAAGAAAACTATCTACAAGCCAAGGAATGCCCAAGGCTCCCAGAGGCTAGAAGAGAGTCAACAACAAATTCTCTCTCAGCCCTCAGAAAGAACCAATTCTGTTAACGTCTTGATTTCAGACTTCTAGCCTCCAGAAATGTGAGAAAGTACATTTCTGTAGTTTGAGCTACCAAGTTCATGGTTCTTTGGTATGTCAGCTCCAGGAAACTAAAATAAATTCCCCAGGTGCAAGTTTTATAAGCTTTTTTATTTGGATACTAATAATAAATAATAATAGATCCATACAGATTTGCAAAGATAATACAGAGAGGCCCCAGTATCCTTCACCAGGTTTCCCCCAATGGTTACATCTTACATAATTAATACCAAAAGTAGCAATTTAATATTCATCCAATGTGTGTATATTGCTCCAAATTATTTTAGCCTATGCCTAGATTTGTCTACCACCACGTCTGTCAAAATACAGAACTATCCCATCACCACAAAGACCCCCCCCCCCCACTCACTTCTATTGTCAAAGCCTGGTAACCACTAATCTTCTTTCCATATCTGTAATTTTGTCATTTCACAAATGTCATGTTAGTGATATGTATGTGATAATTTGAGATTGGCTTTGTTAATCACCATAATGCCCTTGAGATCCATCCAGTTGTTTCTTGTATCATCAGTAATTGATTGTTTTTTTTTTTTTTTAATTGCTTAACAGTATTCGGTGGTATTGGTAAACCAGAGTTAACCATTCACC